GTATTGGTGGCCTAATGAAAAAAGTAGGTTACAATAAGTACATAAATTAAGTACCGTATATATAGACTTTGACAATGTACAGGTAGAGTATAATGAAAATGCATATACAGTAACCTGTACAGTACATACAAACATTAATTACTAACATTCAGCATTAAATTATCATGAAACAGTACTGTACATAAATGATATGCATAATGACTGTTTTTAATACATATAAAGGTATAATAAAAAGATAAAAATCAGGTAAATTTAAGAAATAAGCTTAAAAAAAAAAAAAAAAAAGCAACTAAGTCATGACCAAACTGAGTAATTGTATATACTGTAGTAGGGTCCTCATACACACAACACCCCTCTAGTGTCCAGTTTAAATTTGCAATATCATGCCAGTGTAGTGGCTTTTGTAATCAATCCCCACTATAGTAATTCCAGGGAACAACAAAAGGCCAACATCATGTACCCATGACTTTAGCATGGCTTGGTAGAAATTTTGATCCTGGGACTCAAAATTAGAGTTTTACATCGCCTGCAACCAGGGAAAACTGTCTGCCAGTATGCATCTTGTCAAAGAGTACAGGAAACAACTTCTTCTTTCTTTTAATATTCAATCTATTGAATCCATTTTTTTAATGTGCCAGAGGGTCCCCGGGTTATGAACGGGTTCCGTTCCTGAGGACGTTCTTAAGTTGGATTTGTAATTCAAGTTGGAACACATGCTTGCGCATACCGTACTTACAGAACAAAGTTTAAAATCCCACTACAGTATATCATAGCCTTAGTCCTTATATACAACTAAAATCACTTAATTTAAGAGAAAAAGAAATAATAAACAAAAATACAGTAAACGAAAAGCAAAAAAAATAAGTCATCAGCTAAATAAAATACTGGAAATTTCCAGTTTAACCCAGTTTGTATTGGCGCTCAGAAGTCAGGGACCCCTTAATACAGTATTCATAAGTGGGTGTTTTGGTTTGTAGTTTAATTTAATGTTGGCTTGTAACTAACACCATTTTCTCCATTAGTTCTTTAATTATTCTTAACTTCAACTGGTATAACTTAGCATAATTTTTAAAATTCTTCCAGGTTTTACTGTATAAGTTAAAGTAAATCACTAACACAGCAAATTTACTTTAAATGTACTTTAAAACAGTTTGGGTTGCATCCTTTCCCAACTAACCAGGGGAAAATGTAATATAAAAACAATACGGTATACAACAATATATAAAAAGTACAAAACATCCCCAAGCTGTATATCAGGACTGGATGATATGCTCCTTGGAGTTTAAAGGTTATGGAAAAATGGGTTGACTAAAAAAAAAGAAAAAAAATCACAGATTGCATTTCTCAAATTTTTGAAAATATATCTAGGACAGGTATGCATTTTTACTGATCTGATCGGATCAATTCAGTTTTGAGAATAAAATAAAATTATTTGAATACCTCGGCATCCTCATTGAAAAAATAAATATTTGTTACCATAATTCAAGAGAGGATACAGTACACAGCTAAAACTTGTTTGTCACTGGTGACAATACAGGTATAATGCACATAAACATAAAAATAAGGGTACATCCCCCCTTCTTCAACAAAGAGTATAAAATATTGAAAGGAAACTCTGTCTTAGTGTGGATTAATGTACACCTACTATAAAATTATTCGGCACCCTTATGGTGTGATACAATATGACACGGATGCCGAAAAATTTTTTAGTGGATGTACACTGATTAAAAAATTTGTGAAGATTCACACAGTAGCAAGACCATGATGATAAAGAAAAAGGTTAATTGTATGTTATCTGTTGACAGAATACAGTAAGACAGTGAATGTAACCTGTACAGGTATCAGATATAGAATTCTATGTAAATGTAACATTTCATCTGCATTATTATACTTGCTTGTCTGACGTACAAACAGTACTCAATATTAGACTTCCAATGACTATTATTTTACCATTTTTATGTCTTTACTTTTGCTTCCTTGTGTATACTTGGTGAGACAACTTTCATCCAAGATATACTTTGAAGACTGGCAATGCTCCTTAACATTACAAAATATAAGACTCTGCACCCTAAATACAATTATTCCGTTAATAACACTTTCCTGGATATTGTTGACAGGCATTATGATATATCAGTCACTGAAGGCAGAGTAACAAGTGGGAGCAGCAGTGAAAAAAGCAAACCAAGATTTGTGAATTATAAAGCGTACAGTCAGCCACAGGAATAAGAATACACCTACTGGTTGAAATTAATGTAAAATATCATTGCTCTTTTCATTCAGAAAAATAGATAATCTCTTGTAGAGCCAACCCATAAGGAAGTAGCTAATTAGCCAGGAATTCCCAGTCATGACAAGCTAGTATGCTCAGTGATAGTATTCTCTGCTAATTCCTGTGCCAATCAAGAATTACACCATTGTTACCTGGTATATATCTCTTATTATAAAAAAAATTTTTTGATAAAATTAATATAAACTTGGGTTATCATTTCAAATGTGAAAGATTTAGTTTCCTGTTTGTCGTTTATTCTACCACCAAAAAAAAAATTTATTTATGAAGTCAAATGCATTGTGAAGGTTGTGTAATGCTGAAAAAATAGACTCCGTTCTTGACCTGGCTGGTAGGAGCTGTGACCATAGGATTGCACCTCTCCTACCAGCCAGACATTTTTCTAAATTAACAAAAAAATCTTGTCCTATTCAAACATATTTCCCCGCATGACTTCATGTTTCTCAGGTGGTCAGGTCAGAGAACATTCAGACCTTGGTTTATGAATTGGATATTATAAAGATACTACATACTCTGTACATCTCCCTTTGTACTATCATACCGCTTATAACAGATGAGATACATTCTTGAGGCTGGTTCACTAAGTGAAATGTCTGTTAAGTGAAGCAATTATAACATGGTGTTTATGGAGATGTGTTCTTGCTAAAAATTCAATTAAGTAGTTGAAATGATAAATAACTCCCTTTATATAGTACGACTATTTTCTTGTAGAATGACTAAATACCTGTACTGATTAAATGTTCTCCGTACGAAAAGTGCAGCAAGCAAACCACTCCAGCACAAAGATAATAAAAAAAAATAAAAAAATGGCTGTTACGAGGTGACAACACTTAACTTTTACATTCCAATGACGAGTTTGTTAACATCATTAATAAATTAAACAAAATTTAATAAGTAACACTCACCAGTTAATTTTTTGGAGCTTGATGCGTGGTTTACCACTGCTGCCTCGCTCCTACTGTGCACCTACTACTCCGACCTGACACTAGTCTGCCTCAACCCTTCCTATGTCCATAGTACAGTAATGACTTTCCTGGGCACCTTGGCTGGTTTACAAACAGATGCACTTGCAAGCCATTTCCTAGTCATAATGGGCAAAAAACATTCACCAAACACAAGTAGATAGCAAAAATATGAAGACCTACCATGATAAAACAGACACGAATCTTGGCGGGCTACTATTTACATTTTGAGACAATCGTTGATTGACTTAGAGGAGTAATCAACAAAGATGGCGGTGGACTATATCATTGGTTCTTTTACACTAATGGTTGATTGATTTTTCTTAAATGAAACTTTAATTACTATTAGACAGTATTTATTAACTGAATATTTTTTACTGTCCATTAATCAAAATTCCATTGGCTGAGGCTCCGTTAAAAATGGTGTGTTAGTACTGTACATAGTTTGCTTGAAGACATGATACATGAAAGATCTTGTTCCTGTAGTTTATTTGTGCATACAGTAATTATGTATAGATTACAATGGATAAATTAACCAAAGGTTCAAAATTTGATACATGTCAAGATGTTGAGAATTTAGTTGAAGGATATCAGAAAACAAAATGTGTTCAGTAGTGGAAGAGAAATCGCTGAGCAAACCAGCTAGTCATGATTGGTTTCCTGACTACATAACCTCCCATTTCCCCAGGTGGGAATTCCCAGTTAAATAGCCTCTTCCAATCTAAATAGAAGAGACCCAGAGGTCCACTAGAATATAAAATGAGGGATAATCTCACACTCGTTCATGTATCTGTTGGGTTGGGTTGGGTTAGGTTGGTTTGCCTGGGGTCTCAATACTTTTTGGATTGGTTGTACAAGATATATGTACATAAATGTATTATAAAAATGCTGCAGGATCAATACGACGTTATTTATAAACATATGTGGGAGGCCGGACTGTGCATTACACAAGGGGTTGTGGCTAAGAATGAGAAGCTCTGGAAACTGTCAGGCTCTCTTAGCAGGATAATCTGCATCGCTAGCCAGTTAATGGGTTAATGGCTTGAAATATTTGCAAAATTTAAAAATAAATAAATAAATAAATCTGAGTTTTTATCACATAGGTGAGGTGGCAGCCATTTGCTTGTCTTCAGAGATAAGAGTCTGGGGTAAATATACGAGTTGCTCAAGCAAGCACGAAAAATGATGAAAGTAGGCAAAAAGAACACATGTACCAACAAGAAAATAAGAAAAGACATAAATGGGAAAATGATATTCATTGAATGCAACATCTACTACCAATACAGATTGAATATTCACAACAGGATTAATACAACTGCTATTCATTAACTATAATGTCTTCTTACAATCTTGTTAAATGTCTACACCACTTTTAAACTCACATAAACATTAACGATGATGACGATGATGTTCCGACTAATGCGTATAAATGATGCATAATTTTTTTTCCATATCTTGGGTACTTGAATTACAGTGCGCAAATGATTTATACATAAATATCTTTAAAATATTTTTAATTTCTTCTTGTCCATACAACTATTCCTCTATTAATAAAAGGGAGAAGTTCCTAAAACACTCTTTGAATATCAAAATTTTTTAAATTGCGAAGGCTTATCTAATTAATTTAAAGGAAAACATTAAGGATGCAATCTTACCCACTCTTTTCACAATCTAAAGACGTGAATTCAGTAAAAAAATAACAGTAATAATAAAGGTATGAAGTACATATAGTAAATAATAAAACAATGTGCTGGAGGGTTAACTGTTATTGTGTGTATACAGTGCCTTACATAATCTGGCTGTACACTCCACGTCTAACACAAACTTAACACTGATTACCAAGTGACTATATTATATTCAAATAACTTAACCCCTTAAGTATGCAAATTGTCCCCAGTGTTGCTTTCTTCAGATGCACAAAATAAAAATATTCAGAAAAAAATCCTATATAGGCCATTTAAATGGCATAGTGGACCATCAATGATGGACCACTTCACCCTTTCTGTCAACCACCCCCCAAAAATAAAAAAGTAACTTTTAGACCTTTTCATAGGTACAAAAAAGTTTCTAGTTTGTAAATAGGTACAGGTATCCCTTGTTTTGTGATCATGTCACTTAGTGATCGATTTTTCAGGAAAGCGTGCTGATCACTAAACTAGGGTTACCTGTATAATAAAAATACCTGTACATACCAGTAGTGGATCGTTACTACCCCAAAGGGAAAAAATAATAATGTGTAGGAACATGGAAAACACAAAAATAACAAAAAATGCAAAGTATAATGCTGGTGGTGAATGAGTAAATAAGATGGAAAGTAGTGAGGAAGGGTCAGGGGAGATGCGGGGAAAAGTGAAGGGATGTGAGGAAGGGTCAGGGGAGATGGGGGGACAAGTAAAGGGAAGTGAGGAAGGGTCAGGGAAAATGGGGGGACAAGTGAAGGGAAGTGAGGAAGGGTCAGGGGAGATGGGGGACAAGTGAAGGGAAGTGAGGAAGGGTCAGGGGAGATGGGGGGATAAATGGCGGGTAGCGAGGAGGGGTCAGGGGAGATGAGAGGCCAATGGCGGGTACTGAGGAGAGGTCAGGAGTGATGGGGGGGACAAGTGAAGGGAAGTGAGGAAGGGTCAGGGGAGGCGGAAGGATGAGAGGAGGAGGAGCGGCATCTACACAGCATCACAATCAAAAAGTTACTGACGGATATAATAGGGGAAGGTACCGGGAATGTGGTGGGGAGGCTTACAGTTAGTACTACATACAATTTTTCCCCAATTTAGTAGCTGCGAGGCTTTGCAGTCCCAGCAAAATAAAGGTGCGCAATTTGAAAGCAAAACCAAGCCATGATCCACTTTGATCGTTGGGGTTAGTACCCTACTGGGAACACAGCGATCTATCTGGTCAGTTATATTGAAAAGAGTCATCCATAAAATGTGCTGAAGGAGAAAACATTAGTGCATGTAACTAACACAGTCTCTTGTGTGGCTGAATGCTTCGTACTTGCACGGAATTTCATAAACATGAAAATCTTGTGCAAGTAGAAATATGGTCTCTAATTTGTCTACTCCATGAATGTGAAATTTCTGATAATGAAACTCCCCAGCAGTACTCTTTATTAATTGCTTGGTCAAACAATCAATAAAGAGTACTACTGGGGAGTTCTCCGTTGCCTACGGGATGCAGTGTGTCGCAAGAGACAAGAGTTGTGGGAGGCGGAGAACTGGCAGCTCCACCACGACAAGGCTCCAGCCCACTCATCATCCCATCTTGTCCAGGATTTTTTGGCCAAACACAGGATCACACAGGTCCGGCAGGCTCCTATTCTCCTGACATGGCTCCCTGCGACTTTTGGCTGTTTTCTAAAATTAAGATGCTGGTGAAGGGTTCGAAATTTGAGGACACAAATGAGATAAAGAAAAATGCGACGAAGATCATGTTGGCGATCCCAAAAACTGACTTTACAAAATGTTTCCAGCAATGGAAGGACCGCTGGGCTAAGTGTGTTGAGTCCCAAGGGGCCTACTTTGAAGGGGATTAAAGTTTGAACTCAGTAAGAAAGCTTGTTTTTTTTTCACCTGCTAAAGGTCGGATACTTTTCGATCAGACCTCGGATATATATTTTTTTAATTACACATTTTCCATGAACCCGGTCTGTTACTTTCATTAACCTCTTTTAAGTTTAAACTGATTGTCATTACCAGTCCTTCACCTTCCAATATTTGTTGACCTGTAAAAAATGTTCCTTTAGTTTTACCAGAAAACATTTACATTTGATACATTTAATAGAGTTTCCACTTATACCATTACATTCATTAACATTGTACAGAATCTTTCAATACAAAACTAATCTTCTACAGTACACATTATACACCAACTTTGACTCTAAACACATAAAAAAATGTATTATGAAATAAACGGTAAACTTGCTCTACTCAATCAGCTTAATCCTAATTACAAAGTAAGTTGACACCTATAAGCTGTGAATGAAATATCCTCAGGCTATAGTAAAATATGAGTTGCAAATATATGGGGGTCATGATCAATGTCAAATGAGGTTCAAATCTCTTCTGCTTACCAACAGTGCAGGGATAATTCTCCCATGCTATAGAGACTACCACTAAATCTAGTCAGAAACACCATAATACTTCACAGTATCTTTGTTTCACTATTTTTATTAGTTAAAAATATTCAGTTTTTTGAGATTCTTTATACAAGTTTCTACATACGTCAGCACCTAATTTATGTATCTTCCTGGCGAGAATGATCATCTAATTACATCTTTAAGGGAAAACCAAGAAGATAAATGCAACAGTAAAACATGAGGTCCACCACTTGACATAAAATGGCAGGTAACATATCCAGAAACTACTACATTGTAAAGATTTGATCTTTATAGACCATTTTAAGTACATAAGATGTACCAGTGCAGTTGAAACTCCTTAATTTTTCACACTCTTACCTATATCGTCTTGTTCTCTACACATAGCAGGTAATGCTGATAATGAAATAATGACAATGACTAAAAATCAGTATTGTAACTTCACTGAAATAGCTACCATTCATGGAACAGTCATGACTTTCAAGAACAAAGTAAAATGCATGGGCAAATCTGAATACAGTAAGAAAGAAGGTAACAGATGTCTTGTGTAGGCATAAATAATAAGCGTTTTCATCAGTAAAATGGAATACAAATAAATGTTAGCAATGGCCCCTCTGCAATCTACCACACTTAAAAAATAACTATCAAACTGGAGTATATAATATATGATGAGCTACAGCTGCATCACTACCAAAATACTTAACACAATGTTCTCCATGCATTTATAGATAACCATAAACCATGATAATATGGCTTAGTTTCAAAAGTAAAACAATGTTCATTATTCCTAAAAATTAAATCTACAATGAATATCTATCTACCCTTCCTCCTGAGAAGAAAAAACAGAAATAAAAAAGCACCATAGGAACTTACACTGTAACACCAACACATATTGCATGAGATCTGAGATTATTTTAAGGCAAGTTTTCAATTCAGTTTCAATCTAAGTGATTTACTCATGTAAATGGCTGTGCAAAGTCTAGATATACAGTAGGTTTAGGCTACATTATCAAGATTTCTCAAATGATCTAGCTCCACAACATTAACATGGCTTGGGACTTGTGCTTCCTCAGTGGAATAACACCCATATTCATATTTCTTATTTATGCTGTATCATATCACCAGTGACCAATTCCATTACACATCAAGTTTTGGGCTTGAAAGAAAGTACTCCAAAAGATTATTTCACTGATCATTTCCACTGCAACTAACCAGAAGTACCCACACACAGGAGCTTATACAACAAGCCCAAGTAAACCCACATTTCACACTAACACACATCACAAAATATAATCACATCATCAAAATGAGCGGTTGAGCAGATCTTCTAAGTCATGTTCATAGATAGCAATGAAGAGCATAATGGTGGCACCTGTCAACATCCCAAGGCCCTGAAGAAACATTTGGAGTGCCACGCTAAATTTCTCGCCTCGATTCACTGGGAGCTCTGACAACTGGGGGGAAAATGCTTAGAATTATGATACATGGACAACAACAAAATTCCTTGTTTTATGCTAGACAAAATAACCAACTGTTACTTATGCAAGTATTTATCACAACAGCACCTCCCCATACACAACTTCCTTTTCTAACTGGATTTAAATAAATTAACAAATTCAATTTTGATAAAATATAGCAGTGAATCTTTATGAAGTAATTTTAAAAAAACAAGAAAAATATTTAAGTAGTGATCTTGAAATCTCATTTCATAACTAATCAAGGATCGGGTGCTCATTTATACCTAAACAAGTCTAAAAGGAGAAAGCCCAGGGTCCCAGGACCTAACTTGGTGATTGAAACTAAATTTCACAAAAGATTACTTAATCTTTCCACCTATACAAAGTTCCTAATAATGATGGGGGTTTGAGATGTCATTCATAACAAATGCCCTCCACAACCTTCATGTGTTGCTTAGTAATAAAATCAGACAACAGGATCAATGTCTTGATTCCAGCTCACCCCAGAAGCCCAAAAGAGAAGGGTAGGAATGTGAGTTGTCAAATACCTGCTCAATTATGAAGTGGGGTTTCACAATCAATCATCCATTTACAAATAGAAACAAATCTCAGATGACTCAAGAACAGTTTACCCAAACCAGCAACAAAGAGTAGACAGGAAGTGCCATTAACCTCCAAGTGCTATGCACAGTGCACTTCCCCAATGGAAGCCTTTCAATCAAACCTAGCAATAAGCTGGTGCTTATATAAGGGAGGAAGGAGTGAATGAAGTAGGTGAGACAGTATCCAACCAGGTGCCCAGGTGACTGAAAAATGAGGTGTTGACCTTGCCACCTGGTCTTTAACTGAACAACAAATATGAGTCATAAAACACACATGTTAAGTGTGGCATCAAGGTTCAATCCTTCTCCTTCTGCAGGAACTACCATACCAAGAACAGTAAAAATTCCATAATTTTAAATATTACAGGATCTAACCCTTATGAATTATGAGATTGTACAAAATATGAGGGACACCTCCCGAGGAGGGGGGATGGTATTTTTATGTTATCTGGCCCAATCAAAATTTAAACATTTCTAAGTACAGTACCAGATTTAGTTGCTTGGTCCAGGGATATCAGACAGGGCAATGATGGAAAAACAAGTGAAAAAAGCTTGCACGGTAGACTATCAGTGTACACGATGTACATTCCACGACTGATAATGTGAACTGACCGTAACTGACACACGTGACATGTATAGTACATGTTTACACTGAGGCAGGCAGTCGGCGGTCGCATGCCATGGCCACACATGCGTCATATATTTTTTAAGATCTCAAAATCGGAAATTTTTAAAAATATTACGAAAATTCAAATATACAATATTATACTGTACAGTATATCGTAATACTGTACAGTAGTACCCCGATTTACGCGGTCAATTGAACCCACAGGGTACCGCGTAAAGTGAACAACAGAACATATGGGATTAATTCCAATAGAGACTGGCCCGACCCCCAAACTCCACTTTTTGACGACACACAACTATGTTGTAGTAAAAATATTATCTTAACTTTATGATGGTATGCACACACAATTAATAATTAAGAGAAATATCAATAATATTAGGTTTTTTAACACTTACATTAGTAGAAAAGATGGCTGGGCACACGGGGATGGGGGGTTGATTCCGAGGCAGAGGGCAGATTATTGGCCCTCACCTGTATCACTTGTATCAATTGTATCACTATCCACCACATAGGCTTGCAGGGCCTCTTTGTCAAACCCCTCAAAGTCCATATATATGTCCATATCCTCACTATCACTGACTTAGGCCGGCTGTGGTGGGTAGCGGGTGAAGAACTCGGTAATGTTTTGATGACTGGGCGACCTTGTGCGCATCCTGCCCGCGCTGCTTCCCGCGTATATGAGTAGATGCACCGCGGAAAGTGAAAGTTCGGTTCTGACGAGGCACTGCGTATATGAGAAATCGCGGAAAGTGAAACCGCGGAAAGTGAAACCGCGGAAAGTGAAACCGCGTAAAGCGGGGTAATACTGTATTACTAAATGTCTCATATTTTGAAATTTTACCAAATATTACAAAATTTTTAACTATTTTCGTAATAGCAAAAGATTACGAGTTAAGAGTGATTTCGAATTTGGGGGCCAAGAATTATGGTTTTTTACTGTTCAGTACAAGGAATCTCATGGAATCTAGTATGGTTTGGGAACACACTAATTTTTAGAGTTCTTTTAAAACAAAATTTCAGTCCCAAGTGTATACCTGCAAAATTTATATACATGCCTATCCAGTTGTAAACCTGTACAATATAACAATTTTACAGAAAAAAAATATTACAAATTGAAAATAAATCCTAAAATAAAAATTATGGTAGCCAACAATGAACTTAAACAAGTAGAAAAATTTGTGTACTGTATTTAGGAAGTAACATTAGCTGTGGTGGTAAATGTGAAAAAGAAATCAAAATAAGAGTAGCTTATTTACCAATAATTTTACTCATTGAAATGAATAGATGTATGCTCATTGAATTTCATACCCTAAAACACGAAGTTCGTTTGACTTTGCATTCATCTGGACCTTACTACTATATGCACATTAATAAAATAGATAAACAACACAAAGATATTAGTGGTTAAACTGGCCTTTAAAATAAATTATAAATAAGGTTAGTAAGAAGTTATTACATTCATGAAACTGAATAACTTACCAGGTCTACTAAAGCTAAGTAGATAAAGACTCCAGCAGTGAAAGAATAAATCCAAGGTGAGGCAGTAGGAATGGAACCTAACAGGACTCCCATGACAACTCCACCTAAGCTGAAGATCCACAGCATCCCCATCATTTTCACAGCCTGAGCCTTTTCCATGCCCATCTCAAACAGCAAGGCAAAGTCCCCTGTTGAAAACACACAAGTTGATCACATAAAAGAGATTCTGCTTCAAAGAACAACCAATCCTATTCCTCTTTATATCCCAGATTATTAAGCAGATTTCTAGATAAACTGGTGAATGTATGAGGGTAAATAGTGTTAGGCAAGTGAGATTAAAAATAATCATGAAGGGCACCAGAGCTGAGTGATGTAGAAAGGATATAGATTTCATGAATGGTGTACCACAGAATATATGAAATATACTGAGATGTTCATGACGATGCAAGGAATTAAATAATAATAATCTGTCGGGACAACTTTACAAAGTTGTCGTAAACATTGCTGAGAATCTTTCCAAGCATGGTGCACAGGATATAATCATGAAGAAGCACATCCAAGACTGAGACCAGAAAACTGCATTTCAAGTGTATCAAAGGTTATAGTTTAATGCACTTCAAGAAGCATGCACAGACCTAGCCGTGCCAATACAACTTCTCAATACATATTGGTGATATATGGTCTAGCAAGCGATTAGTTCTCTAATAATGTTGACTTGCAAAATGACAGGGCAAGTATTGGGCAGATGTGTACATTTATAGAATCCCAAATACAACTAGAAGACACTACCCTGTGTGTTTTTGTATCATATACTGTACAGTCACACAGAAAGATGAACATTTTGATACAACACATCCTTTGCTGATAAAAGAAAAGGAAAAAAAAATTGTAACTTCAATTTCTCAACCAGACATTAAGCCTTTGGCTCCACGAGGTTCCCTGAGTTGAATAAAAACATCTGGTGGTAGACAAAACAAATTCTAAAGTATGACAATCGGCACATAATAGTTAAGACATAGAGTTGTGTTGGAATCTCCCTTCACTATCACTCTCTTACACTTAAGCATTCAGGGCTTCTCAAAATCCTCTTTCCTAGTCTTGTTTCTCATTCCATGATACCTAATCCACAATATTCTAAGATGGACCCCCTTATATTCCATCATGGATTTCTATGTGTGTGTGTGTGTGTGTGTGTGTGTGTGTGTGTGTGTGTAAGAAAAATCTTCAAAAAATTAAAATTTTGCAATGGATGGATGCTAAGCATTGAAGTACCTCATTGTGTAGTGTTAAAAGGTCTGTAAATATAAACTAATAGATAAAAATGAAGGAACCCTAAGTAAATATATTCAAGGGGGAAAGAATTATAAAATGAGGGAAAGGAAAAACTAAAAGCCATCATGGGAAACATATTATTGAATGTAAATGGATACTGTACAGAGAAAAAGACAACTGCAATAAGAAACATTTCAAAGCTGCGAGAGGATAGAAAAGACTAAGAAATATAACAGTAATCATTAAGGGTAAATATGAGCTTTGATAATGTGTGGCAGGCACGCAGGTGAGTTGTGGCATCTTAACTGCTTCTACTCCCTATGACTGAGTTTTATCAATAACAACTTACCAACTTTATGTGGAAGCTCATGACAAAGTACAGCAATAGAGGTGGCTACTCCTCCTGTTATACTAGTTCCAAATGCTGCTCCAATGGCCATACCATCCAAAAATGTGTGCAAGGCATCGCCGACTAATATCATGGCCCGAAGGGAATCCTTACGACCTATAATAGAAGAGGTGAATTAGAGTTTTTATTTTATCTAAACAAATTTCCTATTTATATTTGGATGACACTCTCATTGTTCTTAATTACTAAATTAACATATGCAATTCATGTCAGCTGTTCCTTGACTATTGTAAAGTAATAGTTATGTTTTCTTTGATATTAGTACATTAAAATTTTATGAGTTTGTGGGTTTAGACATTTGCAAAACTAAAATCTCACTCATAAAACTTTTATATACAGTACAGTACAATAATATATCTCAATAATGGAATTCTGGATACTGTACCAGAAATCATTGATAACCAGTATTGAGAAATATATTCCAGTAATATCTTTGTTTCAACACCTGGCATATTACGTGTGTAAACATGCAGCCCAAGAAGTGTCCCCCTCACCTCCAGCCTTTTTTCAGTAGTAAGCACATGTTCTAAAACTAGGGGAATAAATGTGTTCTGGTCTAAAGAAATTTTAAACTTTGAATGGAAAATATAACATGGAACTAGATTTAAATAAAGTTAAGTTTTTCCTACATTTGAAAGCATTGTACTGTGGGCCACATGAAATATTCCTGAATATTGTAACCACCTTATGTCTCTTTATATCACATGAAAAAATAAGACAAGAAAGAAGGTTGCACCTGTAACATGAGAGTGTCCATGATGAGAGTGACCATGGTGACCAACATGATACTCCTGAAGTACCATGTTAAAGCTGCTGCTGTTCTGTCTTAAAACTTTGGGACGCACAGAAGGCGTGTTTAATATGAGGGACAGTTCCCCACCCTGTAAAAAAAAAAAAAAAAAAAAAAAATGCCCATTACAGGTCTCTCCTTTAATTTATAAACTTTAAAAGTCCTGTAAAAAATAACTACAGGTATTTCAAAAATATCTTCCAGAATGTGAGTGGCTTTCTATAAGGTAAGAAGTGGACCCTCATAAGTAAGAAAGGTACCTCCTTGGTAAGAATACCATCCTCCCAGTATGAGTGGCATCTCCCAGGCACCTTCCTGATAAATTAGGTATGCAGTACTGTAGTTGGATTAGAGCGAGTATAGAAAACTTTGGACCAAACAGAAGAGTTGTAAGATAAACATTACTGTACAGCCAAAGTAAGACTCCATGGGGATATCAAGTTCCTTCCTGGTTTCAGAGTAAATTGAAGACAAAAGTTATCAATAAATAATTGTAGAAATTTTAACATGTATTAAATGACTGATATAAGAAGAACAGTGTTAACACATAAAATAATACCTACAAGATACTCATGAAAATGGGGATTAGGGGAAGGGGGAAGGGGGGGGGGATAGCCAAAACAAACCGGCTTCCTTTCCCTAACTAGAAAAGGGAAGCCTGAATGCAATGACTGCTTGGTTAATAAAAGAAGAAAAAAAAATACATTATACAGTAAATACCATTTCAGATTTTTCTGCTGGAGTAGTAACTAATCTTTCTCTCTCTGCTGCATTGGATGCCAGCTTCTCCTTTTCTATGGATTTTTCAATACAAGTAACTTCAGTATCCTCAGGTACTGATCCTGGCTCATCATCCCCAAACCTGGTCTTTTCTAAGCCATTACCAGTGTTCCCATTTGCATCACTACTTGGGCTGGAACTGCAACCCTCAAAGCAGTTTTGGGCATCAAGTGCTGAAAAATTACATTAACAAGTTAAAGGTCGACCCAAAATGGGCAAAGCATAGATATAGCATACTGTACTGCAAGATTCATATAGGTGTTAAGAGCTATTACACAATGATACCGTTCATCTAAATTGCTGATACAGTAGTTCAGGCAATCATAAAGCAATGTAAACAAATTCAAAAGCTTCATTCAGAAGTACAATACAACATTCAGAAGTTACCTCATACTTTTCACCTCTCTCCCCCCTTATTCAGTAAGAGAAAAGGTAAGGCAACTGCTTTTCCTCTTTGTTGATCATACGTATAGTGTACTTATGAAATAAACAGTTATGTCTGTCTTATTGGTAAGTCATCTACAAAATTACAGTGCAGAAAGATTATAAAAATACTAAGGTGCTTTACCAAAACTGTGTTACTAAGCATTAGCCATTGTGCAAAGAAAGGGGTCATTCATTATAATTCATAACAGCATAAATGTGATAAAAGCTTTACATAAAGAACAACTACTAATTAAACAATCCATACTATTACAAAGAGTTTCTAGTTATGTAACATATGCTTACCTAAATCCTTCAAAAGTATCAAGCCCTTAAAAGTGGATAATGTATTCATTCATTTGCAGTTTTATGCATTCCAATTGTATAAAATGAAAACTCATGCACAAAGGACTAATTAAAATAATTCTACATGCAAGTTCAAATTGCCAGAGAAATAAAATTAATAATGAACCCAAAAAACTATAATAAAAAGTTTACTATATGTTCTCCATGTTAAGATTTGGAACCCTTTGCCCATCCCATTGTGTTTTCCAATGAAGTAGTAATGACCGCACCTCTCCCAGCTATATGCATACAGAGGTCCCTCAATTGATGTAAAGGTCATGTTCTTGACAAATCTAAATTAATGTATGGTAAAAAACGATTTCCATCCTAGGTCTTAAAAAAATTATCAATCTCCAAAATCTTACCTTTTGCAAAGAATAAACATTTTTCACAGGCTTTATATGTCATTAGAATTTTATTCAACCCAACACACCACATTAATATGTAGTGTAGTGGATATTAAACACACTACACTGTACTTGAATATTGAACAGTACTGGGTCTGTTTATTTACAAACAGCCTTGGTTCTCATGAAACTACATTTTTTGTGAAAGAAACTAAAGCCATATGTTACCCCAGTGAGACTAATTCCGGCTGTGTGCCTCAGAATGAGATTGGTAAATATGATTCACAAAGTACTGTATGTACAGTATCAAGTTGTTATTTTTACACACTGAATGAAAGAATACTATTAAATAAAAAAATAAAAAATGAAAAATTCCCCAGCCATTTACTATAAGTACCCTCAGTGCAACCCCAAGTAACAGAAACGTAAATAATGCAAGTTACTCGACCAAAGCTTCATCACTTCCAACCAGCCATTTTCCACATTTGTGTGGATTTGATTAACTAACTAAACCTCATAGCTTGGTTCATAATAACAAAATGTTTTTACCCATTTCTGTTAATGTACAAATACTGTAGCTTTTTTACACACCAACAACTTTTATTAAATGAATAGTCTTTAAGAAAGGTTGCAAATATTTTAAATGTTTCTTCTGTTTTTACATCTAAGTAAACTGGTATGTACACAGTACAAGCAAACTATTATTGGTTTAGCACACTAGTGTTTTCTCCTGATGGTCAGTTTGATCACACCAGTGAACAGTACATATCCAGTTTCTAGACAAGGAATACCCTCGAGTAATGAGTCTGTACTGCAATTTACAGAACCACAACTCACATTATAACAGGACTGAAATTTGAATATTTTTGCATGGTCCAGCAAATTTTAGGCCAGGAATATGTGGACAGCTCAAAGTTCCTGTATGCAAACAGCACCCTAAACGTTCTGCTCAAACTCAGAAATATCTTAGAAAAGGCCTGGGACACCTAAAAGACAGAAGTCTGGATCAGTCCAGAAGTCTTAGGCCTGTGTATAAAACTGAGGTTGGATATTTCAATTTTTGGTTTAAATGTATGTGACATCATATAAAAACCTTGTAAACATAATTAATTCACATCCAGGATTTATTGAATACTGTACTGTATATATCACAGTCTCTTGCAAGCCATTCCCCCACTTGACTGTGTGGTGGCTGGAATTTGGAGAAAACAAAAAATCTCTCTTTACTCACAGTCAATCAGTCACTACTCTAATAGATGTGGACTGTTATGGTCTTCTCACAACACAGCAGCATATTTTGCTCTCATTTACACACTCTGCTGGATGTCCATCTCACTCATATACATAAACCCAAGAGATGTGGTCATTACTCTTAACCAGGAGGTTGGGTGCAAATTAAAAATGAAACTTGTTTAGAGGTGAAATAATGTTCAGGAGGGGGACACCATGTTTCAAGAGGACAAAATGTTATCAAGGACACCAAGAATGAAGCGAACATGTTATGGAAGCAGACATCATGTTCTGGAAAGAATTTTACCAAGAGTGTTTATCATGCAATTAAAAAAGTAACATCAGGCATGGAAATTCATGAGTAAGGTACTACAGCCAAAACAGCACAATGGCCATGAAGAGGAAATTTTTTACGAGGGATATCACAGCCAGTTAGGAAACAATGGCAACAATCTTCATGAAATTCCAAGCCTGACATATGTCAAGCCTCACTTCTGGTTGCAGCTAATGAGAATTCAGCATTACAGAAAAGCACAAGAGCAACATTTATTCTTTTGCCTTTAAGGTTCACAACATGTTGCATGAGAACTGACTTGGTATGTATTTCACAATCCACAAGTTATACCAACAAATCCATCTTAATAATTTCATAAATGTCAGCCAATAGCATATAAAATGAAATTATTAAAGTGGTAGTCATAGTCCATGCTACTTACTCATTGTGCTTTCTGCATATATGAAGGAATTATGTTTGGAATGTTTTGAGAGCTTTTCACCTATCTTCTCGTTAGTATGACTTCCAGTATCTTCTATGGTTGTTGCTGTCTCTACTGTTTCCTTATCTACCTCCTCCTGCAAATTAATATCCAATGATGACAGCATTATATATTGATACCAATATTTCTTACACACATACATAACACATTACAGGTACAGACCCTCGACACCAGATCCCGGAAAACTGTTAATTCTCGAAAACCGGACATTTTCTTCCTTCAGTTTGGTTAAATTTTCTTCCCTGGCTAAAAATTTTGAGGTACCTTATGCCAGATGCTTCTTGTTCTCACCTGGCCCATGTGAGAACAAGCAGCAACTGGATTAAGTAAATAGAGCCTTTGGTTTAATTTTTTCAAAATAATTTCAAAAGCTGTGTGAAAACAGTAATATTACCTTATTAATACAAATAAATATAATTAAAGATAATTTTGCACTTGGGGAAGCAAAATATAACATGTGAAATGCTCTGGCAACATAATTATCTTGAAGACAACATGAATATGATGAACAAGTTTTAAGATGTAAACTCCTTGCCGCAGGATGTCACATGGTGAAGGATGTTACAATTTTCTTTTTCCTGTTTTCTTCCAAGATATTTATGTTACCAGAGCATTTCACATGCTATTTTTTGCTTCCCCAAGTGCAAAAATTATTAGAGATCAAAACAGAATAGTAATTGTCCCTTAAAATATCAAATGTACCGGTAAACATGATAGATTAAATACTACAGAACTGTAGTGACTTTTCCCCATGTCTGTCTGCCTGACAATGAGCTGCCTTGCTACAGACTGACCCCAAGCCTCAGTTGCATGGTTCGAGTGAACAGACTATATAAAACTCTTTAATTTCTAAAAAAGTTATTGAGTATATAATGTTTGTTTGTTGTGTTCTCTTCATTTAATGAATGCAGAAAACAATATTTTCTTTACTTTGTTATTTAAAAAGTAAAACAAAGTTTAATTAAGTGTGTGTAGGAGAAAAACTTGACTAGTCTACCAGAGACCTGAAAATCCTAAAAACCAATTCAGTTTTCGTTCACATGGTCCCAGATTTGAGGGTCTACACCTGTACTCTATGATGAACCAATGCAGTGATTACAAATTCTACTTCTCAAAACTAAATTATATGAAAAATTAACAAACCAATTTATATAACTATTTTGTATAATGTACTCTGTACCAAATATTTTTTTTGACATTAAAATTAAATTACACTAAATTTACACGATTAAATTGTCAAAAAATTCAGGAGTGCCTCACCTTACTCTTTGTAAGATCTCCTGGAAGTTCATGACTATGCCCATGTGCATGGCCATTCCCACAAAACATGTTGTGGAACCGTTCCAAGAAGAGGAATAAAATTATCCCTCCTAGTGCTGTGAAGCCATAAAATGAATGCAGTACATGGGGATTGCTACCTTGTGGAACTTCCATGCTGATAGCCTGAAGGTAAAAAAAAAAAAACCCAGTTTATCAATGATTGAGAATGACCATCATTGTGAGTTAATCTCTCCTAGTATGGTGGCATCTATCTACTGTACTTATTCTTAATTTGTAGTGAAAGAGCTCAAACAGATTAAACTAATAATACAAATATGATTGAAGTTCAGTTCTATATTATACTAGTTCACCACAGTATAATCTAAAATACTTTTATTTAATTGAAAACATTAAGGAATAATATGAAGTTTTCTTTTATACTCTTAATGTATTGTATATATTTTCATTTGATACTAAGTCATGAAGGAATAATACAATGAAATTCTCCTTTCTACTAATAACATTGTTTAGATAATTTTATACTGCATACCACATCAAGAAAACCATTAAATATAAGTACTGTATATAAGACCTTGCCTGCTCAATGAAGCACTACTAAATTGGAAATAAGAGAATTTTGTTCACAATAGTTAACATCTTCCGTCTCTGACAGTCTTGGAGTGCAGTAACCAACAGGTGAGGCAGTTAGCTTAGTTTAGGAAATAACACATAGCGAGAAGAATGAACAGTCCTTCTTTACCTGACACAGTGAACTCCCCATTTACCTTACCCAGTTATGGACACCTACTTGTACAGTATTTCTTTCTTTGTCGCTAGTTCAAAGTTTATCCAATTACTAATTTTTTATTGTTTACATTTTGTTTTGTTTCATTCCCAATCCAGACCAGTTTATAAGATTCTTCAATCATCATCATCATCCTTTCCTCCTTCCTTCAATCATAGTTATTTTCCCACTAATCCTATCATTATTTCCTTTTATTTCAACCTTTCTTCATTACCTTATGTTTTTTTTGTTTTTTTTTTATAATTTCCTGTTTCTACTTATTGAAGTACCCTTCCACTTATCTGACATTCTGTCTTTAAGGTAAGAGGTAATTGTCTCACTTAAGTACTGTAACTTCAAATTCTTCACGCACCCCTCATGGGTCTAAGCCCACTTGATTAACAACAAATAATTAGTATTTGTTTAAATATAATGTGTTATTTCTATTGTGAGATGAATTGTACATTATATTTTGATATAATAAAATAGTGAATATAAGACCCCACATTGTAAAATAACTATTGAAACACTCGCACATAATCAGGCACATTCAAGAGCTTGTGCATGCACAGTACCTGCAGACAATACATAACCAGTCAGCCCAGCAAGTAATCTGACAAGTGAAGAGAAGGATAAGTATATAATAACTAACATGAGGGAGGAGATGGATTAGGGCATCTCCTGCTAACGTTCCAACAGCCAGGGCCATCAAGAACTGATTAACTTGGTCGTAATATTGGACTCGTTTCAGTGCAGGAATCAGCATGATGCACGCCAACCCCACCAGTCCAATGACAATCATGCTTGTTACAGCCCCGATCCAACTCTCTGTGAGATCATACAATGCATGTAAGTACAAAACAAATTTCAATACTAACAACTGCAACTAGCATAGCATTTAACAAAATGCATACATGATACAACAGCAACAGATAATGCACAGCATAACAAGAAGAAACCTTGCAATGAGATGACCTAAAATACAGTTTTTCTGTAAAAGTTCAAAACTGATTCATATTACCTATCAAATATGACTATGAATAACATATGCATATATACTGCATAGTACTGTATATGGGGCATGGAACTACCATTGAATTAACACATGCTAAAGCAATGATAATGTACGTGCTACACCTGCCATTATATTAATTGTTTAGAGCCTGTAACATGTAACATCTTATATGCATGCCATTAATAATACTTTAGAACACTACAGATGTCAGCTTTAAATTTCACTTATCTTTGATAAAGATATTTCTACTCTGTACAAACTTCTTTTCTGGATTTCCCTTATCAAGAAGAAAACTTCAGTCAGCTATTAGTACATCAGTGTTCCAACTGCTAACAATATTTCATATTAGCTTTTACATTGGATATCATAAAAGTTCCCAGCACAAAAAGTAAGTTAATTCAATGTATTATACATCAGATAACAGCTTTAATTCATAAAAACATATTGAAACTTTACCTTGCCATACATAATTTATGAAACACAAAGTAATAAACTACAAATAAATTTAACAAACATTTTTATGCACTGTACATTTTAAAATAGGTGTCACTAATTCATTAGACCTTGGTTAAACTACTTAAACCTACCAACTTGGTCACTAGTCTTGTGTTGGGCCATATTCTGCACAGCTTAATTTTCCAGTCATAGCATTCTCGCTCAAATTATTATGAAAGAGCTGGTCCACTATAAAAAAAAAATTACACATACAGCATTTAAGCACGCACACACGCACGCACATACACAGAAATGAATGGACACACACCTGCCTGTATACAGGTACAGTATGCATAGGCATGCATGCACACACACACTTTAATCTACAAAAATATTAATTATATCTAGAATGATATTTAACCTCCATATGTACAGTATACATGTAACTTTATCTACTGCTTAAATACACATTTGTTATAATGAATAACAGAAATGGCACTTCTTTTAAGGAATACAGTAGAAGTATGACATAATAATCTTAAGGGAAAAAAAATTAACAGACATAAACATGAGGGATCCTTGATGAAGAATGATTCCTGGGTGAATTTTCCTCTACCAAAGTTAATAGAATACAGTTTATCATTCCCCTTTCAATCCCAGTTGCAAAAGACATTCTTCATCATCCAGTATTACTGTGTCCATATTCCATACAAGTCATTCAAATGAATTTTATTATCAATCAATTCGTTCAATCCTCTTCCTTATCAATGAAACTACATCCCCTCTTTCCATCCATATATAAATTGCAACTCTTTAGATGTAAGGCAGACACTTATCCCTGACTAGACAGTTAAGTCATGCATCTTCATCTCTCTTACCCATAGTGTACTGCAAGGCAAGCTAAGTTTGATTATGGGTCACTTATCGGTATTGTTGCCATTACAGGTCATAATTTAAAGTTTACCTTCCTTGGCCCAGCATATAATAAAAAAGATAATCCTACATTTTGACAACCCACACAAACCCCTAAAAAGTCATAAGGCATAATAAAATATGGCAAACTTTGTGAAGCCTCAGTCTCTGACACATAGGGTTGCAGATACCATAAATAAATGCTAGTTCATTCACTATGCTGAAACATCTAGTTATATCAAAATTTGAGGTATACTATAAGGATTTAAGATTAAAGGTCTGTGTATTTATACATTCAATAAACTTAATAGTCAATCCAAATTAATTAAAAGAACACCTCCCATTTTGTCTTAATTCAGTGATATACTGTATCATATGGGATTTTGGGAGCATTGGTTGTTTTCAATCTACAAGGAAAAACAGACTAATATCAAAATATTATACATATATAATATCATATATGTATAATTATATCCCCTGTATTATATATTCATAAATTTATATAAAAAATCATGTACTTTTTAAGTTAAATACAATAAACATCATAACTAGTGCAAAAGTAAATTTTGGGATTTTTTTTCCCAATTAGCCCGTACCTGCAGTAAATTCATCACCATCGTGTTTATAGCCACGGCGATGGCCATGTGAGTGCTCAAGTTCACCATGGTTATGTGGATCACTGTGCTGACTCTCCATGGTGCATATGTCCAAGTAGTTGACAATCCCTGGGCATAAATCCAGGAATCCACGAGCCGTAACAGAATCACCGGCAGATAATCCCGATCCCAATAGTAAGTCAACAATCCCGTCAAACTGTAAAAAATAAAAATACAATACATTAATAAAAACCAAACTAAATTAAACAAAAAAATATTTCAGACCAAGGCTGTAGTGTTTCAGGGAGACAATAAAGTCTATACCTTAACCAGAAATCTGGATAATCTGGGCCCTCTCTACAGTTTAAACTACCCATGCCTTTGTTTGAAAAATTCTGATCATTAGCAAAATCATTATTGTCTACCTAGTCGGTTCATGGTGTTGACACTTTCTATGCTTTTTTGTTCTGTTTAATGTACAAGCCTGGGTTCCATAATCTATCACTTTATAGAGGCTGGGATTAGCTTTATGGTTCTGTGTGTGGCCAAGCAAGAACAAAAAAGATTTTCAAATACAGTACTGTATTCAGGACTTGAACTCAGACTTCCACCTTGTCAAGCAGCACACTTACCAATTACAACATGGCTCACCATTTTCATCACCCACATTGATCTCTGGGTAGTCTTTCCTTTATACACTACAGTACTTGGCAAGGTGTTTCCACCACAGCATACTGTACCTATAAATTTCCTATTGAGCTTACCGTAAATAGAGCTTTAGACTGACACACACAATATATATATATACGTATATGTATGTATGTAATATATATATATATATATATATATATATATATATATATATATATATATATATATATATATATATATATATATATATATATATATATATATATATATATATATATGTAATATATATATAATAATATATATATATACATAATATATATATATATATATATAATATAATATATATATATATATATATATAATATAATATATATATATATATATATATATATATATATATATATATATATATATATATATATATATATATATATATATATATATATATATATATATATATATATATATATATAATATATATATATATATATATATATATATATATATATATATATATATATATATATATATATATATATATATATATATATATATATATATATATATATATATATATATATATATATATATATATATATATATATATATATTATATATATATATATATATATATATATATATATATATATATATATATATATATATATATATTATATATATATTACTAAATTTGTTATGCTTATCTTAATAAATGGCAAGAAAAACAGGTCGTAATTTAATGACTCATCTCTATTCTAGTGTTTATTACAGGGACTAACACAGGTATGGGCTGTTCCCAGTACTCCCAGTTGTAAATCATATGGGTACCCATTTATAAAATTGATGAAGTAAAGGCTTGGTCCAGTATACTTTCCAGAGTGGTGTTTTCACACTGTCCCTAAAGGATAGTCAGGCGTATTGGACCCACCTTTATAGAACCCAAACTTGATTTGGGAATTCAGAATGTGGTCTGGTTCAAACCTCGTTTAGGCAGTCAAATTGGCTCTAAAAGATGTTCCTATTGTAATTAATAATAACCTATTGGGAATTCGGTTAACATTCGTTTTTATCCCAATAGGGGGCCAGGGCAGGGGGCTAGGACAGGGGTCGGAGGGGGGTCAGAAGGGGGACGGGGGTCGGAGGGGGAACGGGGAGGGAGGCGTATTCGAGTTAATGATGATGTTTGGTAACTTGTTCCACTCATCCACTACTCTATTTCCAAACCAATGTTTACCTATTTCGCGCCATAATCTAAATTTGTCTAATTTAAAGCCATTGTTACGAGTTCATTCAATTTCAATTTCAATTGTTTATTCCTTGATAGAGGAAGCGGGATCCTAGTGCTGTCACTAGGTACCCCTGTACAATGACACCAGAAGCATCTGGCAAGTGTGACAAGTATATACAGTATAAATATTATAAAGGGGCTTACTAAAGCCTAAGGAAGGAAGGATATTCCTTTAACACATAATCAATATTATTTACAAAATATCTGGCCAGTATAGGGAGGATCATCGTGTCTCCGTCAGGGGGTCGTGGAGTGGTGGTCCAGCAGGCGTCACGGAAGCGTTGTGTGTGGGGACATCTTAGGAGGTAGTGAATAAGGGTGCTGCTGTCGGGTCTTCTGCATAATGCACACGAGTTCACTCCTGGTTGAATAGTTTAAGTACCCTTTTAATGTCACCCTTGTTTAGCCCTGACTTCCATTTATAAACCTCGAGCATATCGCCCCTCACTCTACGTCTCTCGAGGGAGTGCAAATTAAGATGCTTTAACCTGTCTCTGTACTCAAGGTTTCTAATGCCATGGATTAGTCTTGTCATTCTCCTCTGAATTCTTTCTAGGGATTCTATATCCATTCTGTAGTGCGGTGACCAGAATTGAACTGCGTAATCCAAGTGAGGTCTCGCTAGTCTTGTAACTAACACTCCTTTGTATGAACCAAAGCACTTTGTTAACCTTGTTTCGAGGAAATACACATTGTTTACTTGGTTTAAGATTCCTACTTATCATTACTCCTAATCTTTCTCACAACCAATCACAGAGTTTTTCGCAGTCAAGTGACTTTTTTGCACCTTTAACCCTAATTTTTTACCCGTTTTGGCTCAATTTATTTTAAAATATCATAACCATAGTGAATTTAAGCGTTTTCTTTACCCATTGACCTGCCATCTTACAAAAAAATTCCGACCGTCAACTCGTCCATTGGGGATATTGGGATGAAAACGAATTTTTATCGGAATTTCACTTAATTTCAGTTATGGGTTAATAATGAAAGAGAACCCTTTTACTATTTTACGTTCGATGCATCATGAGGGCGTGTTTTGTTCCGTTTTATGCTTCTTCAGTCCTCACAGCTTTGACTGCGATCGGAAACACCACCAATGTCATAGCTATAGGCTCTGATATTAAAACATTATTTCAGAGGATTGCATATAAGCACAACCAACAGGATATGTATATCTTAACACCCCTTCCCCCCCCCCACCCCCTTGCCTCCAGCTACGCCTTCATCCCCCGGAAATTACGTGGGGAAAGGACGTGACGTATAGTATAGTACTGCAACCTCGGTTCTCATCCGCTAAGAAGTGTCCCTAAGCCGAGCGTACCCCCACGGGTGACCTGTTGCACTCAACGTGGATTTTACTTGCTTTGCCACAAACCAAACGTTAGACGTCAAATGGCGAGATCTAGTTTGTGTCGGACTGTCAGGTCTAGGAGGCTTTTCAATATTAACAATGGTGTGAGGTCCTGGGACAAAGTCCAAGCTACCCTCCAGCGAGTGAGGTGAAGGAGGGAGAGGTTTTACGTCAACGGCGGACACTGAAGAGGTACACCAATGTTACCCACTTGTTACGTCATCAACAACATCCGCACCCGTCTTCCTTTTGTGTGTGTGGAATGACATTTCCCACCCGCGGTCTGTTACGTCTCCTGGTCTGTTTAGTTTTACAGTCCAAAGTTGTTGTTTTTAATTATACAAATACTGTATGTTTCTTGTTTGTCACGAAGGTTTGATATTTCTGCCTTTGTATTCCACAGAAACAACTATTGATTAGTTTGGTAATGATGGTTCGCAGTGTTAGCCATGGTAGTTTACTGCTAACTCCATGACACTTTCTCTTCACGATCATGGCCACCTTTCACGGTATAGTCAAATTGTGGCTTTAGCAAGGAGACTTTTTTTTTATTCCAGGAATGCTTTACTCTACCATAGGCCTGGCGAATATATTTTGAGAGTTCCATGCACCTCTAGTACTTAGTTTAGTTTAGGTATATCTACAGATCATTTGTGGACTTAATAATTACTGACTTCAAACACTGTTTTCGCTGTGTAATGTATGTGTTACAACTATAGGATGGTTTTCAATAAGCTTTCGCAGACTATTTCCCAAAATAATTTCAAAGTTTTTGTTTTAATGAGGCAAATGAGATATTAATTCTTACCCACACACACTCCATGGCTTACAGGTCTCGGCTTTACATCCCTTGACACACATGTTACCCACCACAGCAACAAGTCAGTCCTGTTAAGACCTTAATAACATAACAGATGCCACGCACTGGAACCTTCACCTTGTGGGGACAAAAGGTTATAAAATGTTCATCAGTACCGAAGGTTGAACTCTCACCGGCTGTCCCTTTAAGCACTGTATTGGTGGTGGTGAATACAGTCAGTGCGAGATGAGGGTCTGGCCGCACGCTTATTACTATTAAAATACGACATTTCTCTCACAGCGCTGTCAGTTACCTCGCTGGCTGTCACCTGTGTGAAGCTGCTGTCATTTCCGAAACAATTGGGAATTTTCTATTACTGTATTGGCTCAATGGGTTGTCCCACCGATAGCTGCCATCTCCAGCGTCCTGTTATACTCTCTACTTTTGCCCAACGGCTGTTATATGCAACAAAGAAAATGTTATAATTATCTGGTACAAGGGCTCTCACGTCGGACACCTTGACGAACATCACGCAAGCTTTATTCCCATGTGGTGTTAAGAGGCGTTGTTAGACATCTCTGAAGGTTATCACGTAATGCTATACTCTCTCTCATAACATTCACATGCATACAAACACAAACCACATAACTCACACATACAGTAAGACAACAAACACACCTATAACACAAATAAAAGATACATATAGCCATTAGTTTTAAATACATGTACAAGGGGTATACATACACAAATAGGCACCCACAATACTCATATACAGAAACAAGCACACACTTCTACCTAACGCAAACATCCTGTCACAAGTGTACAAGTGTCACACACACACACACACACCAGCTGACTGCCTCCCGGAAGACAACACAACACGGCTCTTACGGCAACAACCTGACGTGGTGGCGACGGCGTATTAAAATCACGAACTGACAACTAAGCAACGAGGCAGAACTTGGGGATCGCTTTCTACTGCCCCGTCGACAGACTCGACAGTCGCACCTCTTACACCGTAGTCGACGATCCACGCCCCTCCAATACCTTGCCATACTGACAACCTCTAATAGTCTCTTGTAATTCTGAAAATAGACTGGAGCGTGTTTTGAAAATCTAGTGATAACTGGTGTGTTTTTTTTAAGTGATTTTAAGATGAGGATGTATTAGGTGAGAGAGAGAAGGTGTTAAGTCGCGGTGGTGGTAGTGGCTATGTAACACGAGTGACAAGTGCAACACCTACACCATCTTCCAGCAGTGATCACCTGTTCCCCCACCCACCCCCGCGGCCGTCGCTGCCAAAATTTTAAAGGTTCTTCTGTTGAACCCTCTGGCCACAGCACTCGTCTCTTGGTAGTGTTCATCGTTCACTGGTGAGATGTTTGAACAATCTCTCTTCTTGTTTTGCACTGATTAACCCTTCTTCCCTCATCATCAGTCACGTTAACACTATTGTCAATGTAGAGTGGATGGACTGCTCACTACAACTAACACCTGCTCACCAACACCTGTTCACCATCACCTATTCACCAACAACACCTGGGAGGGGGAACGCCAGGTAATAAGCTTACCCTCCCACACATGTCCCATTGTTAGCCGAATCCATTCACCATCTCACCCACCGTCACTGTCATGAAGTGTGAGAGATGATGAGTCAGGGACAAGGTGATGGAAGGAAGGAGTGTGGAGGTGAGGGGGCGTGAAGGTAGAGGTAGGTCAGTGGAGTAGTGTGCCGGGGGAAGACATGTGGCTGTGTGGCGTGCTTATTTCACCCCTCCACCACCCTCGTAAGGTGATGGGTGCACCTGCTTGCATCAGCTGTTCACATGCCTCCAGCCAATTACACTTACACATAAACTTAAATAACACCTACACACCTCAATGTTGATTTACTCTTCTGTAATACACTTCTTCCCATTATCTATGTTGAGGTTCACATTCCTGTACCTTCAATGTAATACTTTTCAGACCAATACACACCACGAAAATAATCAATATAGGACTATGTGGACACTCTTCTAAATAGGGACAGTTGCCAAGTCGTATTACCGAACACCAGTGGTATCAAAAGCATTCACAGGCAACCACCAACACACGCACATACTAACTATCTGAGGTACCGAGACATGTCACTCTTGTGCGCTAAGTAACGTCTAAGTAGCGTCTGTTTCCCACTAATTAATATTACCAGTCACGGTTTGTCCAGGACGTAGAGACGAATGTGGGGAAATTACAGTGTGCTTCTAGATCCTTAACAGCTCTGGACGTCCAATGCTTCTCTCCTTGAGCCGGTTTTGTGAAGTACGACTAGTGCATCATTAGGAATGTGCTGCTGTGGTGAGGTGAAGTAGTGTGTTGCCATGGTGATGTAATATGTTGCCATGATGGTGTAGTATAATGCCATGGTGTAGTGTTACCATGAGTAGTGTGATGCCATAGTGATGCATAATGTGATGCCAACATCAATAGAAGCATTCGAGAACGCCAATGCCAACTTTGCAACATCAACAGAAACACAATACTCACCATCAACCCCGTAGGAACATCTACAAACATCATCGACACAAATACTCAAGGTACTGTAGTAACATCAACACATCACAACACAGTCATCACCCACCTGCGTTAACACACTTGGCAGCATCAGTCATGTAAATACTTAAGCATTATTTAAGTGAGGGAGATTAGGTTACGGAGATTAGAATTTTAACATAATACATCAGACTTTTCTTTGCTGTAATTTTTTTTTATTTAATTTTGTGTTATTTGATATATTTACCCAGAAGAAAATGCCATATATTGTAAAGTGTTCAGGGAAATTAGTCTGCAAGTGTACTAAAGGTGTACAGCTGGCCACAAGTAAACAATATGTGGGTCAGGGAGACAGGTTTGGCGGGAAATGTCAAGGAAAAAAAAACAGCAACAAAGGTGTATATGTGGTATTGTTTTACGAGTTTAAAAGTTACGCGTTAGACTAGTAATATTATAATGACCAAGAAAACCTATTATAATGATCAGGGGAAGAATATTATAATGAACAGAAGAATGTATTAATGGACAAGAAATAAGTATAATAACGAATGAGAGAAATATATATTTACGAATATAAGAATCATAAGGAGTACTGAAAATTGTGGAGGTGAAAAACTTAAGGATGTTTGCCGGGCTTTTGATGATGATGACAACAATTTCCTTCCAAACTTGTAACACTAATACACAATGAAATGAAAATATTACCTTTCTTAAACTCAAAGTAAGTGTTTTGAATGTAACTTAGGTTGATTAGTAAATGAAAAGATATGAACCAGTACTGAACTATTGAATACCCAGAGCGATGGATTACACATTGAGCTGAAGGAATCCCAAACAAACATTTACTTAATTTTGAAACAAAAGAGTTAATTAGGCCGTGGTTTGGGGGACTGTGTCTAATAAAGAAGCTAAAATCAGGACGAGGTCAGCATCCAGGATCAGATCCAGTTTACTGTTTACAGGTACAGCCTCTGAGCTGGGATTCACCTTCGGTTGTCGCTATTCGTAATTAATTAATATTACTAAACAATATTAAAGCTATCCTACATCATCAAAGATAAAATAAACAAAACTAGTTTCCATGTGAGGTTACCTCAGACTATATAAAGTTAAAAGATGATAGTGAAAATAAGGTAGTATAAAGTTGGTGGGGTTCAGGAACCTGGCAACATCTCCAGGCCCAAGAGACGAGAGCGTCAAGGAAAGTTGAGAACCGAAAGTTGCACTGTTGGCCGCTGGCTGCCTGGGGGATTAATGGCGTGGATGAGTGAACTACTACCGCCCTCCTTCCCCATCAGGGAGTAACGTGGTTCACAATTGTGTGACGAGGCAGCAGGAGTGAGCAGCCATCGGGTACACTTGACTCACTCACGAGGGCAAAAATGAGAGGTGCTGGTGGAGTGGCACCCCTGGTACAGGTAACGGGAGGAGTTTCACTTGGGGCACTGGAGGGACTTGCCCGACCGGGCGCTGCCCTACCCGACCGGGCGCTTCACGAGTCTTCACAGTTGCACACGTTATGGAGCACGAGCTGGGTGGTTGACATCCAGTTTACCCAACCACGGACATACCACCACCATCACAACTACTTAACCACCAAGACCTTTACCAGCAGCAGCACAGGTACCGCCGCAGCTGTCGTACACACGTTCTGTAGCCACGAATGACGTCAACAAACTGAACTGGGCGGCGGAACCCGTACTCTGTATGCCTGGTAGCAACAGGTGGGTTGGGCGAGACGCATTTCCAGCATCCTCCTGTCTAACACGTAAACGAGATCACCCAGTGAAAAACGTATATCTCTGGTTGATGCAGCCGTGTGGAAGATGCTCATATAATTACAGTACAACCATAACATCCTTTCCTATACTACAAGCAAATACTGTTTATTTCTCGTCTCTAAAGAACCATGGACCATAGCTTCAACCCAGTTACCCCTGATGATACTAAACCCTTCAATTCATGGTTTTATCAACTCAGGATCAATGTTTTGTTTACTCCATCGTCACACACGACGCTCCTCCCCTCGGCGTCTCTCAGTGTGAACACCCAACCTCAGCCACTTCTCACCATTTCCCACAAGACTTGCGGTGCGGCAACATGTTTCCATTAACTGCAGGGGGGACAAACAAGCTCACATGTTATCCATTACTTAAAATATTATCGTTGGTTATTATTTTTGTGACAGTACTTTGAGTGTTTTGGAAATATATACTCTTCCGGGTCTTCACATTTGTATCACATACGAGTTCTTGTCACACTCTATACACCTTTACTCCACCACCCTATACATCTTCTTTCACAAATGTCCATACAACTTCCAATAAAATTAGTGAACAGATAACTAATCAGTATTCGGCTCTGTCACTTCTGCAGATCCTCTGCTGCTTAAGAAAAAAAGTGGACATGAACGTTTACACTAGCGTCTAAAAACGATTTCAGTGTGTGTGTGTGTGTGTGTGTGTGTGTGTGTGTAATAATAATAATAATTGACGGTTTATTGAAAAAATTCTGCAGCCCGAAGGCTGAAAATATACATTGGACATAAATGATTTATTACATACATTGGTGGTTTAACAAAAGCCTTCATTAGAGAAAGGTAAAGGAACATACAGTGAACATACAGTGTGTGTGTGTGTGTGTGTGTGTGTGTGTGTGTGTGTGTGTGGACATCAGCAGCCTTCGCCCACAGACACTTAGGATGAAGGCTATGTCCTCGGTACTACCACACGCGTTTAACAGTAACATTACGCGCTAAATATAACCACGAACATTTACAGCACAACAACACTACCGGGTCACCCTTCTCAGGTCAACAAACGTGTGGATAACCTCGTTTATTATACAGTAAGTCCCGTTGTGTGGTGCCCCCAATACCTCACTCGCCACACATACAAAATGCACTTCACGAGGCACTTACACATCATTAATCATTCACACGATACTTACACCAGAATCTCAGGTTAAGTCAGAAGTCATTTTGAGAAATGTATTCAGAGTTTGACGTGTCGTGCGCTCTCTCTCTCTCTCTCTCTCTCTCTCTAACCTTTTTTGTTAATCTTATTAAATTATCACACCTAACTGTGAGTGTACAATAGAACAAAACCCTTAGCTTACCCCTATAAATTGCCCATTCCAATATTTAATAATTCCTTCCTTATCCAACACCTAAACTACTGCCAAGTTTCAAGGGAGTCGACCAACGTGTTTCTGAAAGGTTTCGTTCACCTACACCCACATGGACACGGGGAAATCTGAGAGCGTGGAATCAGGGAGTGTGAAAGGGGGAGCCAAGGATGTGACAGTACAGTAGATAACAACACTCGGGAGTGGTGGTGCGTCGCGTCAACCACCGCTACCAATCACTCGTCTCCGCCAAGCCGCCACGGTTCAAGATCTGTCACGTTCAGGCCGGGGAAGTGAAATTTTCACACCCACGACACCAAAGCGAGAGGCGTTTTATCTCACTCCCTGAGAGTGTTTCCTGACACCTGACGAAGCATAAACGATATCCGGCGATAAATTCAAAGGAAAAAACTTGTGGTTGGCTGCCAATTCTAAAGCTTGACGAAATCTGTGTTTAAAGAACTAGAGCGATGGTTTATGTCTTACGAGGTCTGGTGACGCCGATGGTGATACAGTACTTCACAGCTAGCTGACCTGACTCAAACAACTCGCTGGCTACCACATGACATGAAGTGATGCTAACAGGTCACAAACACATGTTGCTACCTGTAGCTATAAGACACTACACATAAACAGTACATAAAATTCTTAAAGTGTGAGGCATTTCAGATTGGTACGTTCAAATAAAACAAAAGCAGTTCTTTGTCTCTACCCC